TGGTTACGTCAATTTCACGCTCGTTAACGGAAGGGCCCTGTTCGCATCCATAAATTGTGCCTACCACCAATTTTCGTCCATATATATATATATATATATCTCTCTCTCTCTCTCTCTGACACACACATCTTGTTCTGCGACCATCTCAGCCATGACACGAACGAGTGATCTATACGAAAGATGCACCTGTGCCTCCAAAGCCGTCTGGTGGGTCCTCTGCAACTCGCCGGCTCTATACATCACATTGTTCCTTTGGTTGCCAATTTTTCCGCTGTTAGCTTCACGAAGATTCATCATGGACTACTACAAGGATGTCTTCGGAATGCCTACAGACAGTAGCTGGCTTCGATATCTTTACGTCGACACACCCTACACTGCTTATATCAACAACCGGGTTACCCTGACCTTGGTCTTGGACTTCCTGGTTCTATACACGTACGAGCGCATACGCAGACTTGCGTACTTTGACGACCCCGTCACGGGACCTCTCGTTGACATCAAGAACCCTGTCCCGTTACCAAAATACTCAACTACACGGTATCTCTTCACCTTTACGTCTCCAGGCCACCCTCTCCGTACGGCGTCGAAATCGCGCCGGATCTTTGTGATCTTCTACATCTTCATATGCGGCATGGCAATGGCAGCGATGGTGATATGGAAGTTGCATCAGTGGGTCCCAGACTTCTGGAAGACGTCGAATCTTGTCGTTTCGATAGTAAGCAAGGTTCTTTCAGGAGCATGGAGGCAGTATGCGGAGATGCCGAAGACTGGCATGCCTGGGGTGCAGTCGCCGGAACAGATTCAGTATCATGGGTGTGTCATTGCTGTAGTGCAGTAGACTTGTTCTTTCGTATTTGTATTTGGGCCTAGGCTTTTGTGCGCAGTCAATCAATACCAACTCCCAGTAATGAATACTTCCATCACTCCGATCCTTGTCTTGTCGTTCTTACTGCATGATTCGCCAAGAATACCAAAATGTTGTGAGTGGGAAAAAGGAGGAAAGACAAGATGTATACTTAACATGAGGTAACACTATATTCATGTGGAAAACGTATATGCAAAAAGATAGAGGAAACAGTAAAGGCTGTAAACTGCTCTCGATACACATACACTTGGAAAATTATACATCGAAAAGATTGTGTTGATTAACATCTTCGTACTGCATCTACACTTGATATTAAAGCTTGTCCGTATTCCCACCTCTTCCTCCATCTATCCATTATTCAAGCCAACAGTATTCCTATCTAAACACCCAAGTACGTCCCACTGGTAATCTTCTTAACAGTAGCTACAGAGTTCCACCCAATCGCCGGACTAGCCGGCGCATTCTCCTCTGCATCCGCAAACGGGTCAGCCTCGCCATCGTCCTTCTTCGCGTTGAGAGGCGCCATCATGCTAACACCTAGCCCGCTACCCAGAGTCAAAGACTGCTCATCGCTAATCTCCCAGCGAGCTTCCGTGTTACCAGGTTTGGCCTGGCCGTCAGTTACGAAGCGTGCGCGTAGGGTTTGGGGGGCGGAGCCTTGAAAGAGGGTTACGTCGCCTAGACGCCAGTAAATGAGTCCCTTGTCGCGCGAGAAGGTACCAGTGGGCTTCGATTGGCACGACGTCGCTTTCGACCCAGGCTCGAGTCGAATCACAAGGACGAGGTTGCGAATGGTGATGCTTGTGGCACCGCCAAGTTCGAATCTGGGGTTGAGGGAGTAGTTGAGGATGGCAGACGTCTGTGTCGGTTCTGATTTCCAAGCTGGGGACAAAAGAATTGGTGGGAGGGAGCCGATGTTGCTGTCTTCGATGTGTAACTGGTAGTGAAAGGCTACCGATGTCTTCATGATCTTTGACAAATCTACGGTGTAGTTACCCGGGCTATCTGCCGACTGCTCGATGAATGCAGGGTTAGGAGCAACCTTCTCGAGTACAGGAAAGTTCTCTAAACGTATACTCTCGGTGCCGAAAGGACCGGCAGAGATGTCGACAGGGTTATACGCAAGCGCAACCTGCCCGATTACCATTGCCTTGGTAACGTTGCCCTGCTCGAACCACGCGCTGACGGTCTCCACTAACGACGCATTGAGCCCCGGTTCATGCAGGTCCGGGTGTCTGATTGTGGTACTAGCGGAGCTACTTAGCGATCGGCCCGAGCGGATGGATTGTGTATCCGATGTGGCATGGTCGTCCGATAATAATGCGCGATGTGGAGGCTTGAAAGCTGGAGAAGTAGGTTGAGGAGGGATAGCAGGAGCAGGAAACGTTGCTGAACCAGGGCCGGAAGCGGGACCAGATTCACTCGTTGGGAGCGGAGGCACCTCGCCTATGCTTTGAAGTTCTGGTGTTGCGGGGTTCGGTACGAATATCGTATTACGAACATCTCGGCGACCACGCAGCGTGCTTGATCGTTTTGGCTGTGCGGCTTGCTGTCCAAGTTTTAGCATATGTCCTCTAAGTATTTCCAGTGTTGCTTACTGCGCGCAGAGTGTTGACCAGGTTGGCGGTAGCTGCATCAGCGTCACCATCTTCTTCTTGAATGGGAGCATTTCTAATGTCAAGCTTGAATTGTGGCGGTGGATTGCCCTCATTTTGTGCCCTGATTCCAGTTAGCTACGCAGACTTTTGGGAACTAAACAATCTTACAGTCCTGCTTCCCTCTCGACTTCCGAGATGGCATCCAGAGCGGATGGGGGCACAGAGAAACCTTCAGAATCCTTTTCTGGTTCTGGCTGCGTCTCTATGACTGGAGGTGGTGGCAGGGGCTCTTTGAGCTCTGGTATAGAATCTTGAGCTGGCGTTGTTCCGTTTACAGCGCCTGGTGCGTCTGCCTCGGCGGACGACTCAGGTATGGTGCCGTTTGGGGCAGCCTCAGTGCTGCCCTGGCGGGTGAGGCTTGGGGAATCAGATCTTTGGGAAGTACTGGGCCTCTGCGAGAGGCGCCGTAGAGGCGAAGTTGGCCGTTCTGCAGTGGTGCTCAACGAGGAGCCCTGGTTCTCATTATTCTTTGCTTTGCCCTTGCCGAATCCACCGAATACCGAACCAAGGTTTGACGAAGAGTTTCGGTCTGGTGATGTCGCTCTGCCGTATGGATGAGCACTCTGTCTCCGTCGCCCCAAAACTGTCCCAAATCGCTTGAGAGGATTGGAGCTGTGTTTCTCGACAGAGCCGCTCTTCTGGCTCCTGTTGTCATCCGCTGCAGTGGGCGATGTTGGCAGAGGAGGAGGCGGTGCGAGGTTTCTCGAAGGAGTCCCTGGAATGCTCGGCTTTCGCACAGGTTGCGGTGCATCTCCGTTCCGCATCCTCAATGCCCACGTTTGTATCTCATCGGCTGTTTCGATGTTCAGCATGGCGTTCAACGTCTCTTCAGCTGTGGTCCTGCTGCGCTCCACCTGGTCGACTTCATGGGTTTGGAATTGCGTGAGCACATCGCGTAGGTGGTTCAGACGGGTCTCATCAATGGCCTGCAGTTGCTCGAAGACGTAGGGTGCTTGCGAGTCCCATTGCAGCTCAGCCTTCTCGATGTCCTGCACGGCATCGGCAACGGCGGACGCTTTGGCCTTTGATCCCTTATCGCGAAGTTTGCCTTGCTTCTTCTGCGCCGTGTCGATGTCTTTTGCGATTGCGGACAGGTTTCCCTGGATGTTGGCCATGGCCAGCACATCTCGGTTGCTGGCGGTGAAGTCGCGCAGGGGGCGTTCGACGTCGGCCTCGATCTTGGTGGCCAGGTGCGCGTGGGATTGGGCGACGGACTCGGTTGCGCTCACAATCTTCTGCCATGGGGTTGCGAAGATGCTGCCCCCGTGTTAGCTCAGCTCGTGCGCTGCGAGGCGAATGGGGCGGGAAGATACCCCAGATCCGACGACTCATCGGGCGGATGTCTGTTTGCGAGCTTCCGCAGACCTTGGACATATTGTTCTTCGACGCGACGACGTTCCTGCGCATTGGTGAGCACCCATGACGATGCGCGGCACCGGGGGCCGACCCACCTGTAGCCAGTCGGCAATGTGGTTGTTGAGCTGGCCGACATGTCTCATGCGACTGTCGAGGACGGTGACGGCTTGGGCGGGCGAAAGCGATGTCTAGACATGGTGTGAGCCGAAGCTGGGGGAGGGCATACAGACAGCTCTCACCAGCAATGCCGGGTATTCTTTGCGTTGGAGCTCCATGGCGACGAATGCGGGGGACAGGCGCACAGCCACAGGGTAGCAATTCGGGATATTTACATAGAGAGGAAGCTCGGCGAGCTTGTCGGGTGTCGTGGAGCTGTCACAACTGCGCTGTCAGTCATGGCTTGGGGCTCGTCGCTTTTGGCCTAGTCCAAGACACGCGGTTGTGCCCGGCATCTGACGTAACCTTGGTAACGACTAACCCTCGAGATGCCTCCCTGGACCCAGTCGCCAGTCGCCAGCTGCTTCCCACATGGACTCGAGACGCGCCAGAGCCTGTCTAGCCATTGCATGACTATGCGACTTGCTGAGCACGGCCAGCCCGTCCTTGGGCACCGACCGCGTCGGCTTGGGTAGTGTCGCGTCGCTCATTCGGGGCGACTCTTCTTCTTTTCCTGCCTTGACAACACCGCTGCTTGACTGCTACCCTGATACCTGTCCGACAACACCCATTGCGCCCCATGGCTTCCTCGGACTGGCGAGCGAGCCTGGGCTTCACTGCTCGCCTGATGGCTGTCACGAAAATGCAAGTAACATGTTTATACTGTCGCGCTAGGGAGCCCGGTACATGTTAGCACGGAACAGGGCCCGACCTTGTGCATGGCATATTTGCTTGATCGCAATTCACCCCTGGCGTGCAAAAGACACATCGGCCCAATCAGTACGCGTCCAACGTCATATTCCAGGACTGACAGCATTGCAGGACATCAGCCTACCAGACAGCGGACCCATCGCTGTCTGCAGACGATGCTCGTAAAAAAGCTACTGTAGCTGAGACGACCATCTACGCGAACGCTACATCTCTGGTACAGACCGCCTCTTGAAATTGGTAAAATTGTTTTGACCATGTTGCAGGACGACTATGACAGACTTTGCAATGACAAGATAACAACCCTTCCCAGACCGTCGCTCGACTTCCCAACACCAGAGGTCAGGACTTGCACTACAAGTGCATGCAAGTTTGCTAACCTAAACTCCAGGATGAAGATTATGTCCCGACACCGGGTGGGAAGCCCATTGGCAACTACCAAAATGCACTCTACCATCGTGAGGGTCTCTTCTCTGTCATTTACAAGGCACCTGCGCTGGGTGGTGAAAGTTACTTTCCAGCAGAGTCGCCTTCGAAGACCAAAGTTGTAGCGTTAAAGATTACTACACCATCAGTAATGGAGCCTCCGCACGACTCACAGCGAGAGGCTAAGATATTAGCCATGGCAGCGTCGGAGCGAGTCATTCCACTGATAGAAACCTTTCGTGAGAACGGAAGCCACTTTGTTCTGGTCTTCCCGTTCGTGCGCTACGACTTCAGCGACCTACTGCGGGACAAGAAACTTTCCAAGAGCCAGATTAAGTCGTGCTTGAAGGACCTCTTCGTTGGACTCGCCGACATCCATAGCAAAGGGATCATACACCGCGATGTCAAGCCTTCCAACATACTCCTCAAGTCTCTCGACGGGCCAGCATACCTTTCCGACTTTGGTATCGCATGGGCGCCTGAAGTGCCAGGGTCAGAATCCGCGGATGCGAAGATTACCGATGTTGGCACTACCTGCTACCGACCCCCGGAACTACTCTTTGGGAACCAAAAGTATGGCTGTAGCCTAGACCTGTGGGCTGCTGGTTGCACAGTCGCTGAAGCTCTTGACCCCAGCCACGAGACGCTGTTCGACTCCGGAGAACTAGGAAGCGATTTGGCCTTGATACAGAGCGTATTCAAGAAGCTCGGAACCCCGAACCTAGATGTCTGGCCGGTGAGTCGATCTATTTTGTCTGATTCTGAACTCTGCTAACTGAAGTAGGAGGCTGCAAGTTTCCGTGACTGGGGCAAGGTGCAATTCTACGAATACCCAACACAGGACTGGTCGGTCTTGCTGCCAAACCTTTCCGGGGTAGAGCGAGATGTCGTCGCCAGCCTAGTCAAATATGAGAGTGGCTCGAGAATGAGTGCATCCGAGGGGAGTTGGTGCGCCCAATACGGAGACATAGCTGACTGTATATGACAGGTGCTCAAGCATGCCTACTTTTCGTCTGCAGAATAAGTTTCTGGGTTCATGTTGGGGATAATTCGCGTCAGGACGCAACTTGAGGCGCGGGGCGATTCCGCACGCGCCGAGTAGCCTGACACATGCATAACATAATTTGTAAATATTAGTGAAATAGTGATATAACCATTTTTGCCAGCGATGCACTGGCCGAGTGATTGCAATCTAGAGTAATCAGCTGTGGGCGAGTGGACGTACACAAAGTGCGCTAGCGACGCAGGGTTGATCCTCGGCCGCTCACAAGCAACAGCATCACCACGGCAAAGTAGACGTAGAGCAACAACCGCACTGTCCCCCCGTATACCCAATTCCGCCCAACGAATTCCAGACATATTCCCCTGCAGTCGCCTGTATGTTGTCGCCGTCAAGATAGCAGCTTTCCGGCCCTGGCCTCAAGTCACAGCCCCTCATAGCACCGCCGCTGTCCCACATCGATCCCCGCCCTGGAAAACTTCCCAACCCACTCAACATGGCATTCCTATTCCGAAACAAGCAGAAGAACAACCTGGAGCTTACCCGCTCTATCAAAGAGCTTACGCTGCGGCTCGGGCAAGAAGACAGGCCCAACCCCAAGGTGCGACCAGACGACTGCTATGGGGCGCCTTGGGCGACATGGCTGACATGTGATAGCTAGAGGAAGGACTTGCTCTGGACCTGCAACAGATGAAAGTTAGACTTCAGGGCACACCCGGTAGGTTTGCTGTCCTTTCACCATGCACCTGCAGGGCTAGCTGCTGACGGCGCCAAAGACACAGAAGTCAACCCGGAGGCTGTCTTCCAGCTTCTTACAAACATCCTCAACGAAGACCTCCTCTATGCGCTAGCAATCAACATTCATAAGCTCCCCTTCGAGTCGCGAAAAGACGCCCAAGTCATCTTCTCCACTGCTTTCCGCTACAAGCCCGCAGGACAAGCTACACCGCAGGTATTGGAGCACGTCGTCGCATACCGACCGGATATTATAATAGCTCTATGTCGAGGCTACGACAGGCGAGAAAGCGCCATGCCATGTGGTGGCATCCTTCGTGAAGCGCTCAAGTACGATGCCATCGCTGCGCTGCTGCTCTATGACGAGCCAATGGAAGACGGAAAGACGCTTGACTTGGGCAACGTGAACCCTGATCTGCCGTCTTCTGGAAACGGTGTCTTCTGGAAGTTCTTTGACTGGATAGACAAGGGCGCGTTTGAAGTCAGTGCCGATGCATTTAACACATTCAGGGTAGGTTGACTGGCTGGAACATGTGAACGGACACGCTGACACACGACAGGAAATCCTGACAAAGCACAAGCCTTTAGTCGCTACATTCCTACAAACCAACTTTGACACCTTCTTCACCAAGTACAACTCGATGCTGATCCAGTCTGAGAGCTATGTGACGAAGCGCCAGTCTATCAAACTGCTGGGCGAGATCTTGCTCGACCGAGCGAACTACAATGTTATGACGCAATATGTTGACTCGGGGGAGCATCTCAAGATCATCATGAAGCTACTGCGAGACGACAGGAAGATGATCAACTACGAGGGTTTCCATGTCTTCAAGGTGAGTGTTGACGGGTGTGATTGTGCGTGTGTGTGTGTGTGTTGACAAACGCAGGTGTTCGTTGCCAACCCGAATAAATCGGTCGCAGTACAACGGATCCTGATTAGCAACCGGGACAAGCTGTTACGGTTCTTGCCGTCATTCTTGGACGACCGCACAGAAGACGAGCAGTTCATCGACGAGAAGAGCTTCTTGATCCGACAGATCGAGCAGCTTCCGCCAGCTCCGGTCGTGCCACCGACAGCGCAATAGCCAGTGTTGGAAGCGAGTATGATGTCTATCTGTTAGGTTTTGCATATCATGGCGTTTGAGGTTTGATATCCTTGGAGTTGTTCACAAGACGGGCGCAGCATCATCGGCGCATTTTAAACGGATGGATGTTGTGGATGCAGGGTGGGCTTGCAGATGCAGGGCCCGCAGTACGTTGTGCGCGGACAGCGGATCATGGTCGGCCTGCTTTTTCAAAAGTATGTTTGCGCATGTCAACCCCTTGGAGCTCCAAAAATAGTTGTTCAAGGAATGTTGAAGGTGTGCGAGCAATCCGACAGCAGGCCACATGCAGCATTACATACTATGATAGATACCAAGTGCTCGCGTGCTGTAGCCGGCATCTCGGATCCGCAAAGACATCTAGACTCCATATTTCATCACGCGGTGGATCTCCCGCGGCGAGCTTCCCCGCTTAATCGCTAACTATGACACGTGGTGGTGATTGGCTGCTATGGTGGCCGTCTGTCTGAGTCCGCGGCCAAGCCGGTGTCGCAGGTAGCAGGGCCGTAACAATCAAAACGTCGTACCTGCGGCAGACGGCTTACATTGTCGCGTTTGGAGAATTGTACCTGCATCGTTTCTGTCGCGTTGAAGCATCCCTTGACGCATCCTCCCGCTAAGCCCCTGATGCTAGCCCGTCGCTAGTTTAGGTAGGAAACCGGCTCTTCCTCCTTCTCGGCTTGGCGGCCAGACTAAAGCGAATCAGGTGCACGCCATCGAGCAGCATGACTTCAGAGGGGGCCCGGATAACTCGCTGGCTGCAGTTGCAGGACACCGCTACACACCAAGGCCCGCTGCTTAGTCCGGGGAATGAATTTCCTCTGAGAACCTTACCGTCTCTTCCCTCCGCCAGCTCCATCTCCGACCTGGATTCGGATGACGGCCCCCGAGTCTCGCAACCACGCACCAACATCGCGAAACTCATCCATCCGCCCACCCCTACCATGACGGATGAGCAGACGGCAGCTCGAAGACGTTCCTCCTCGCTCGCCGGCGCAACCCTGCCCACTAAAACAGACCTGAAGAAGCACCGCCGGCACCGTTCCGACCACATTGCTGAAGAAGGAGAAGAATCCTCGTCCGGTGCGGACCGTTCCGATTCCGACTCTGACAGCGACGACTCCGACCTCGACGACATGAGCGCAGACGGGCTCGAAGACGATGAGGAGACGGGCCTCACCAAGAGAGACAGGCGGAGACGCCGGAGAAGAAAGAGGAGGAACACGTTGCTCGACCAGCGCATCGTCCCCGACGATACGTACACAAAGGAGGAGAAGAAGCTCGCCGACCAGAACTTGCTCAAGTCCATGCTGGTCAACGGAGCCCTGATAGGCCTATGGTAGGACACAACCCCCCGTGTTGTCTCAGCCCAGCTAATGTGTCTAGGTACCTCTTCTCCATTTCGATATCTGTCTACAACAAATGGATGTTCAAGGAAGCCAAGGGCGACGGCGAGACCAAGAACATCTTTCCATTTCCGCTCTTCACAACATGCCTGCATATGGTCGTCCAGTTCACGCTTGCGTCGCTCGTTCTATTCCTAATACCCTCCTTTCGACCTCGACACGATTCCCTTAACCCTCACGCTGCCGGCGCGCGTATGGAGCCCTTGGACCCAAACAAGCCACTTATGACCAAATGGTTCTACTTCAGCAGACTCGGCCCGTGCGGTGCGGCCACCGGCATGGACATTGGCCTGGGCAATACGAGCTTGAAGTTCATCTCGTTGACATTTTTCAGTAAGGGATGAAATCTCGTTTCTCAGAACGCGGCTAACAACAACAGCCATGTGCAAATCATCTGCACTCGGCTTCGTGCTCATCTTCGCATTCCTCTTTCGCCTCGAACAGCCGTCCTGGCGACTTGTATTCATCATCCTTATCATGACCACTGGTGTCGTCATGATGGTAGCCGGCGAGGCTGCCTTTCACACACTCGGCTTCATTCTCGTCATGGTCTCAGCCTGCTCATCCGGCTTCCGCTGGTCCTTGACCCAAATTCTGCTCCTCCGCAACCCCGCGACCGCGAACCCATTTTCCTCCATCTTTTTCCTCGCACCCGTCATGTTCATCAGCATACTTATTCTCGCGATACCCGTGGAAGGCTTCTCCGCGCTCATGGAAGGTCTTTCACACCTATTCGAAACTAAAGGCACTGGCCTCGGCATTGGCATTCTTTTGTTCCCGGGAGTCCTGGCCTTCCTCATGACCTCGTCCGAGTTCGCTCTACTGAAGCGCACTTCGGTCGTCACTCTTAGCATTTGCGGCATTTTCAAGGAAGTTGTTACCATTGGAACCGCAAACCTCGTTTTCAAGGATCCCCTGACGCCTATCAACCTGACTGGGCTTGTTGTCACGATCGGCAGCATCGCGGCATACAATTACATGAAGATCAAGAAGATGAGGGAGGAAGCTCGCATGAATGCGCATCTCCAGAACCAAGAGGTGTATGCGCCTGTCAATACCGTGGATCCCTTGGAGCGCGACAGAAGAGGCAGTGTCGTTGTGCGACCAGGACAAGGCATTGTACGCCACAGTCTCCAGCTTGCGCCTGGACTAAGTGGGGGACAAGTAACGGAAGCTCCAGCGAGAACAAGCCCGATAAAAACCGCTCGGGACACTGAGTAGCATGCAAGTGTGCAGCGATTGTTTTGATTCTAGCGTGTGCATTGGGTATTTTATCGCATTCTGTAGCATCATGGGCGTTTGGAACATGTGGGTAGTGAAAGGCGAGCGTTCAACTGCCGCCGTGGGATTACTATACCCTTTCCCTGAGACTACATCTGAACCACATTCGCTATGTATTATCAATAACTATTTCACATGTTTGACAAGCTGTTAATCTGGTTGACGATGAACGCGAACGAGTTTATACGGTATTACGCGTGGTAGTGCATGTGGTAGCTCAGTGCAAAGACCAATCAACCACACTGGAGAGACTTCGGTGATCGCCATGAGCCGCGGAATTGCAGTCTAGGCATAACCCTTGGCCGCAGTTACCTCATCAGGGTCATGCACGTCGTGAACACCTGCCACTCCCACCCGCGCATGCACATGCACATCTCCTTCACTCCCCCTCCTGCCGTTTGCTCACGGCATTCTGTTTCGGGCAAACGTCCGACTTATAAGCGTGCGGCGCTTCCAGGGCTTGTTTCGCACAACGCAGGTTTCAGAAGCCCCGAAAGCCCGGCAGTAAGCCTCATCGTGGCTTAAGTAGTACTGCCTGCCGGCGTGCACCACTCTACCGCCGTTTTTCTACCTCCCGAGAAACGCGCAGTACTCCCTTCGCTTTCCCCCTTCGACAGCGACCTCACGTCGCTCTACTGCCGCCATGCGGCCTCTCACTACCCTCCTGGCGCTCCCTTTGGCGCTGTTGCCTTCGCTCGTCTTCGCGCAGGATCTCGAAGTCCAAGTCACAAAACCGGCCGAATGTACGCGCAAGACTCAGAAAGGCGACACCGTGTCGATGATGTACAAGGGCACGCTGCAAAGCGACGGCAGCAAGTTCGACTCGAGTTATGACCGAGGAACACCCTTCAGCTTCACGATTGGCAAGGGCCAGGTCATCAAAGGCTGGGACCAGGGATTGTTGGACATGTGTATAGGAGAAGGAAGGAAGTTGATCATCCCGCCCAACCTGGCATATGGCAACCGGGCTATGGGCACCAAGATTCCTGCGGGATCTACACTGAGTACGTGTGGTCCGTTACAGCCATCTGGCCCTGTCTAACCGTGTATGCAGTTTTTGAGACAGAACTCATGGGCATTGATGGTGTCAAGGCCGAACCGCCGAAGTCTGTTGAACCTACGCCGCCAGCTCCCGAGAAGTCAACCGCTGCCGTTACAGATGACAATGTCAACTCCAACGACGAAGAAGCGGCGCCCGAAAACGTACCGAGCCCTACCTCCACACCGTCATCCGAAGCTTCTCCTGTGGAGGCGAAGCCTGAGAAGACTGCAGCACCTGCTGCTAAGCCTAGTAAAATCGCCGAAGCACAAGAGAACCCCATGGATGGCGAGAGCGGCAAGGGCGAGTGCAACCTCCTTGGCAACTTCGCCTTGCTTGTGCAGGGTGCTCTCGGACTTCTCGCAGTGTCCTCTCTTGCCGTCAAGAGGCTGAGAGAGTCCCCGCGACGACCTATGAAGATTTGGTTCTTCGATGTCTCGAAGCAGGTCTTTGGTTCAGTTCTGTTGCACCTTGCAAATGTTCTGATGTCCATGTTGTCTTCTGGCAAATTCGATGTAGCAGCGACCACAAGCGCAACCACCAAGTATGCCGGAACGAACGAAGAGGGTGATCAGCCGAACCCATGTTCGTTCTATCTCCTCAACCTGGCCATCGACGTAAGTACATTCCTACTGACCCCTGTGTTTCGCGACTAACAAGCCTCAGACTACGATCGGCATACCCATTCTCGTGCTGCTCCTCAAGATCCTCCACGCCGCATTCGCGAAGACGCCCCTTGCCAACCCCCCAGAGTCCATCCGCAGCGGCAACTACGGCCAGCCACCACGCGCAACCTGGTGGCTTAAGCAGTCCATAATCTACTTCCTCGGTCTTATCGGCATGAAACTCTGTGTCCTCGCCATTTTCGCTTTCTTGCCTTGGATCGCATGGGTAGGAGACTGGGCACTTCGCTGGACAGAAGGGAACACGGCGCTACAGATCACTTTCGTCATGTTTATTTTCCCCTTGATTATGAACGCGTTACAGTACTGGATCATCGATAGCTTTATCAAGGATCCTGAGCATGGCAGCGGCAGTGGCACTGAGGGCAGGTATGGCGTTATTGGAGATGAGGATAGTGAGGATGAGGATGATGAGGAATGGTTGGAGAGACAGAGGCGGAGGCGTGAGGCGGGCATTGATGGCGAGGATAGTGATGTTGAGGCTGCTGAGGGTGATCCGTTGAAGGAGGCCAACCCTACCGTAGTCCCTGCAAGGAGTCGTAGTCTGAAGACTGGCGGCGACTACGATCCTGCGACTGACGGAGCAAGTGGCAGCCTCAAGACCAGGACGGAGTAGATTGATAGTGTGTTTTGATTGTTGTATTCGCATCTTCATTAGGACATGTTTGTTGTCGACGTCTCACGGCGACTCTGGGATATAGATATAGACATGCATTATATATGTGCAGGGAAACATATTGGTATTTTGAGCAAGCATAAGGACTAGTGTGGTAAATCAGCTAGAGTCTCTACAACATGGGCTTGATCTCCGCTGCTTCCTTGAAGTCTGCACCAGTCTTCGACCGCACTTCGTCTACGGTAACACCATCCGCAAGCTCAACCAGGGTCAAGCCCTCGGTAAAGTCGACGTCGAACACACACTACCCAACGTCAGTCTCCAGTACCAGCGTTTGAATCGAAAAGAGGTTACTTACCAAATCCGTGATAATCCGGCTTACACACGCCTTGCCCGTAAGCGGAAACTCGCACTGCTTAAGAATCTTCGGCCTTCCCTTCTTGTCCGTGTGTTCCATGGTAACAACAACCTTGGTGGCCTGCGGATTCGACACCAAATCCATAGCACCACCAAAGCCCTTGACCTTACCCGGCAACATCCAATTCGCCAGGTCGCCTCTTGCAGAAACTTGCATAGCGCCGAGGATTGTCAGGTTAATCTTCCCAGCACGAATCATGCCGAAACTCTCTTCTGAGCCGAAGCATGATGCGCCAGGGAGAAGTGTGACAGTTTCTTTGCCCGCGTTGATGAGATCGGGATCTTCAAGTCCCTTCTGTGGATAGGGACCGAGACCCAGGATGCCGTTTTCGGATTGAAGTTGGACTTCGACAGAGGGGTCAACAAAGGAAGGAGCGAGCATAGGCATGCCGATTCCGAGGTTGGCGTACATGCCGTTCTTGAACTCCTTGGCTGCACGACGGACGATGCGTTCGCGTTTCGAGGCTGCGTCGCCAGCGCCCAAGGCAGAAACCGCTTCCTGAGGGTCCTTTGCGTTGACGCCTTTTTCAATCTTCTTTTCAGCCGTCGATTGGATTACGCGGTCGACATAGATGCCTGGGACATGGACGGCGTTTGGTGGAATGTCACCGACTTCGACAATGTGCTCAGCTTCTACGATTGTTACTTTGGCGTTGCGAGCCATGGCGCCGTTGAAGTTCTGGGCTGAGAAGCGGAACTGGACGTTTCCCAGGCGGTCGGCTTTGTATGCTTTGATAAAAGCGTAGTCGCCCTTGATACTCTCCTCCATTACATAGCTCTTGCCAGCGAAGACTTTGACGTCGCGAGGTGTGGAATATTGTGCTACGCTGCCGTCACTGTTATGCTTGAGTGCTAGTTCGCCGGTCTGCACAACGGTGCCGAAAGCAGCGGGGGTGTAGAATGCTGGAATGCCGGCGCCACCGGCTCTACACCTCTCTGCTAGTGTGCCTTGGGGTGTGAGTTCCAGCTCCAACTCGCCAGTCAGATACATCTGTTCGAGGACCTTGTTCTCGCCCACGTAGCTTGCAATCATCTTCTTGACTTGTTTGCTTTCCAGCAACAAACCTAGACCTCCCCCAACCACGCCAGCATTGTTGGATACAGCGGTTAGGCCTGTGATTTTTGGTGTACTTTTTACTTGGTGAATGAGTGTATCTGGAACACCTGAAAGACCGAAGCCTCCGCACAAAAGCGTACTGTCGGATGACATGTCTTCGATGGCCGCTGCGGCACTTGGGTAAACCTTGTTGATCTCATTGCGGCGGAGAGACGACGAGAAGGAGCGCGAGAGGTTGAGGTATGTCTGCCAGAGTCAGTTGTTGCTTAACATGGGTTCAATGGTATTTGTGTACTTTTGTTGTGCTTCGCGAAAAGGTGCGCGCCGTGCGAAGGGTAAGGGATATCGACGGCATTATGGGCAGAGCTTGGTACAGGTAAACAAACTTGCAGAATATTATGTTCAGCCCTCAATCTACAGACTGGAAAGATATGTACAGGTGGCCGTGGAGAGGGATGCTGCGCCCCCGAAATCTATAGACCCAAGCATCGTCGCAGCCTCGGGAATCTTTAGTATGGGTTGCGTCGGCCTCTCCAAGCGGGAGGGCGGAACGGCGCCGACGCGGAATGTGGAGGAAAGTCGAGGGCCTGGAAAGCGGAGAGGTAAGATACCAGATGCTGATTGGGTGAGTGTGGGCTGACTCAGGCATACCACGGAGTTGTTTTCCAGCCCGGAACGTCTGATATTCATCAGGAGCCTTGGAGGCTCACGATTCTTCTCTACATGTCCAGCCCTTCCACCTAAAGTTCATGTCGTTGATCGGACCATTATATGAACCATCACCAAATTGCCGTCCATTACTCTAACACAACAGCCTCTCTCTCCTCTGCCCAGGGCCGATCAACGAGACAGTAGAGACATTTCACTTTCTTGATAAGAAACTGTTGAGGTTTGAAAAGAGGTGCAGAATCACAAAGCTGTATTGAACGGTTGGATGTTTACCAATGTCGCGACTGTACAATTCAAATGCGTTGTGAGATAGTAACCTCTCCGGCATTATCCATGAACTGATGGTATTCACGATCCGGGTCTTTATGCCTTGGCGAATTTTCAATATGGCAAACATATCCAAAGGGTTACGATAATGGCATGGAAGATGAGATGTCAGCTTCATTGTGGTGCTTGTAAGACCTTGAATGACGCAAATGCTCCCTAGGTGCGCATCGCTCATCTCTGTTGCACCACTCATAATCTTATCGCAGCCGACTAGATACCCAAGCAATCTCGCTATGCTTCGAAGCATCGCATTTTTCCAACGCAACTGGTAGCACAGCCTTCTGTTCGGCACCTCCGAATCCCAACTGGCCTAAGGCCCCCAGCCACATGTTACCCCCGCAAGTAAGCCGCCTAGCTGCGGCTAGACCCAATGCAGTAGCAATCATGGCCAAGACAGGCACGTCGTTCAGCTACACCTATCACCATCGGTCGATCACTACCTGGGTACCGTTATGATGGAGTGTAAGCTTAAGCCATCTGTAGTAATAAAGCTACAGAGATGCTCGCTTGTATGAGGCGTTTAGATCCGCCACAACCACCACCTTGGACCATACCCTCCGGTTGAACCTAAGCAGTCCTGTCCGATGTCGAAAGCGACCATGGCCCAGAAAGGACAAAACAAAGCAACGCGTCAATGCTGGGATTGTCTCAAACGGCGTCTAGTATGCGACAACACGTTCCCACATTGTATGAAGTGTCAGAAAGCCGGTCGTCAATGCTGTGGTTATGATGACGCAAAGCCGCTTCAGTGGATCCAGCCAGGCAAGGTAACTTCTAGGCGGAGGAGGAAGAAAGACGGTAGCTCGCCGAAAACCTACACCATTGAACCCATAGCCAATAGTGAGACGAGAACGTATCAGGATGTTAACGTACCTGAACAATCGAGCTGTAAGCCGATGCATGAAGAAGACTACATTTGTGAGCCTGTAGATTACGAAGCAGCCCTGTCGTCTTGGGAGAAGGATCGGGTCCCCTACCCTGGAGATCGGGTCACGGACCTCCATACGTTGTCTTTCAAGATGACAGCAAGTGCTAGAGAAGCGGGCAGGATATTTCAGATCGGTGGAAGGGCTAAGATCGAAGAGATTGTCGAAAGTGGTTCACATGAGGAGGCTGCAAAGTTGTTGCGCTCAGACCGTAATCCACTTCAACGACTGAAACGTCTACTCGAGGTTTTACAACTGCAGGACGTACCGAGATATGGGGATCTTATGGATGAAACCTCGGAAGTGGTGCAAGCTGTTCAATACTGTGAGTAATTCCTGACCTGACATTAGAGGCGCATCTAGGACTAGTCGCTGATGCTACCAGACAACCTACGCATACATACAACATACAAGGCAGCTGGAGAGCTAGCACCTAACCCGGCACTCGTGCCTTTCCCTCAACAGGCCTTGCATCTGCTCACCCCGGCAATCCACCATACGCTAGTCTGCCTGTCCCTCAATCATTTTATCCATACTTCTCCGTTGGGAACCGACCGCGCAGTGCTAGCTCCCAATCGGTGGAAGGTATACCACCACCGTGGAGCAGCTTTGCGGGCATTAGGCCAGCATATTGGCCAAGACAAGACAAGATGTTCGGATATGACAATCACTACCATTCTCATGTTCATGTGCTTGGAGGTATGTTGAGCCCGTGCCAATCGGTAGACTTCGAATCAAGTACTGATAAGTAGTTCCAGCTCCAGAATCCTAGCTTTGCTGACTGGCGCTCGCATGTGAATGGCATGAAGCGAATAGTCGACCTAAGAGGTGGGCCGAAGAAGCTTATGAAGGAAGCGCCGCACTTGGTGCCGTCGTTGGTACTTTACCTACTGTACGTTACTTTGTGATGTGAATTGCGGTCAGGGTCTAACTTGAGTGAACAGGATTGTGTCCGTGGCCAACACGTGCAGTCCGTCGTGGGACCAAGTTGAGATCAACAGCACTGCAGATGATGTGACCGAGGACATTGCCAGTATCTACAGTCTCATCTTTCCGTACACGCTTTGTCCACCCGAACTGTTCACCGAAATGCTGCATACAAACCGACTGCGCGCCAAAGCATCTGCGGCAGTCTTGCAGTGTGATTTTGATGTAGACCACACATTGAAGGCTTATGATCTGCTTGCTCGCATCGAAGCCTTCTCGGTTGAAGATTGGGCACAACCTGGCACCTTTTACGATGAATGGTTGATTGTTGGCACAGTGTACAAGTCCGCCCTCGCACTGTACGCCATCTTATCCTTGGGCTCGCTCACTGTCCTCCCAGCAGATGCTTCACTGCTTGACATTCAAACAGTTCACGGCGATATCCTACTCCGCAATCTGCGCACAGCACTCAAGGATCCGCGTATAGCTAGATTCATGGCATGGCCGCTGGTGGTGGTGGGTGTAGAAGCTATATACCGTAGAGAGGCGACGAGGGACTGGATCGGAGTGAGTTTGGAGGAGTTGAGCAGGACGCTAGGCACGAGTGGTCCGATCAAGGCGTGTTCGGTATTGAGGAGGTATTGGAAGGGCGGGGTTTCAGGGTGGGATGAGTGTTTCGATCGACCGTATGTGTTTGTCATCTAGAAAGCGAGCTAGTCAAGGCAGTGTAGCGTCTTTGGTCTCATGGTAGCAAAAACTTTGTGTTGTATCGCTAGTGTGCGTAATGTACAGGCTTGCTATACAGAGGGGGGGATGGAGGCCCCGTGACTCACACCCAAACGCCGATATATGCTGTTGTCGCGACAGAGAGGCAGCACTACCGCTCCAGGCCCTTGTTGTCTGGATCCTCATCGCCCTTGGTCTCCTTGACGTCTTTATACGGGCGGCCGGCGTAGAGCATGTACCCCTTCTCCTCAATGGTGCCCGTCTTCTCGTCTGCCTCGGCTCGTCCCTGGCCAAATGCGCCCGTCTCGAGTTGTCCCTGGACGGCGATGGGTCGGTTGCCGCGGAACCGCTTGCGCATGTCAATCATGCCTTTTTTGCATTCGGCGTACCCCTTCTGCAGCTGCTGGCACTGGGTGGGGAGGGTGTATTTGAGGGGTGGACGCAGACATTCGCCTGGCGTGTGCCGGTCGACCATTATGCAGTCGCTATTTTGGAGGCAGAATGCCAGCGCAGCGCCTAGCCACTACGGTTAGCCGAGGCAGTCGAGGGATGGTGAAACAGGCCATACGGATGTCTTTACATGATTGCGGCATGTTGGCTGGGTGGTCGTGTGTGGCTACCAGCGCATTCAACAACGCATGTGTGGAGTGACTTGGTGGAGCAAAAGCCCGTCGGCGGAAACGTCGCGCTAAGCTCCGGGGCTCAATGCGTTGTCACATGTCAGGGATGGACAGACGGACGGAAGCTTTCGTCTGGAACGTCATTTGGACATTCGCTACTGGATCCTGCTACCCGCCCTGGAGCCCTTCCTCACCGTAGTTCAGGAGGGGCTCAAGCTTCGACTTTCCAGAGGCCCGCGCTCCAGAGGGGCTATGCGTTGTCCTGCAAGTCTTTTGTCGACGCTTTAATTGCTCGTGTGCCCTCAAGTTTCGACACGCCCGTGGGCACCATGGCGCTCCACATACCCTTCCTGTCGCGCCTGCACATCCGCGAGTACGTCGCCCTGTCGGTTTCCGTGTGTCTCATCATCCTCGAATCCATCATCGCCGTCATCACCCTCGCCCTGCCCACGCCCATCATCAACTTCTGCTACCGCCTGACCCGCCGCCTGTTCAACCACCTCTCCTCGCCCTCGTCCAAGCGCTCGCGCCAGAAGAAGAAGGGCGTGTGGAGCTCCATCGCCAACGCCTCCGATTTTACCGAGCTATGCGACCTCTACGGCTACTACTGCGAGGAACACATTGTACAGACCGGTGATGGCTATCTCCTGGGTCTGCACCGCCTGGGCTGGCGACACGGCGAAGAAAACATGCGCGTCAACAGCGGAGACAAGGCAAAAGGCCTCAAGAAGAAGGTCGTCTACCTCCACCACGGCCTGATGATGAACAGCGAGGTCTGGGTTTGCTTGACCGATAAGCAGCGATGCTTGCCGTTTGAGCTGGTGGAGCGAGGATACGACGTCTGGCTCGGCAACAACCGCGGAAACAAGTACTCCAAGAAGAGCGTCCATACTCCCCCTACCTCGAGCAGCTTCTGGAATTTCAGCATGGACCAATTCGCCTTCCACGACATTCCCGACTCCATTGCCTACATTCTCGAGACTACGCATCAGCCATCGCTATCGTACATTGGCTTTTCCCAAGGAACCGCCCAGGCCTTTGCAACATTATCTATCCACCCTACGCTCAACGAGAAGGTTGATGTTTTCATTGCGCTGGCCCCAGCCATGTCGCCCAAGGGCGTTGCGTCAGGCATTGTCGACGCTTTCGTGAAAGCTTCTCCGGACATTCTGTACTTGGCCTTTGGACGCAAGACCATTCTCCCGTCGGCGACCATGTGGCAATCTATCCTATATCCACCCATCTTCGTTCGCTTCATTGACACATCCCTGCGCTTCCTGTTCAACTGGTCCGCTGTCAACATTCTGCCCGAGCAAAAGCTCGCAGCATACCCACATCTGTATTCATACACGTCGACCAAGAGCGTGGTACACTGGTTCCAGATCATTCGAAACGGCACATTTCAAATGTACGACGATGAAGCGCCAAACCCAATCACCTCGAATCGGTCCAAGTACTACAAAGTCGCCAAATTCCCAACCAAGAACATCAAAACGCCCATTGTGCTTGTCTACGGTGGTTCAGACAGTCTAGTCGACATTGATGTTATGCTTAAGGAGCTGCCGTCTCATACTATAGCAAAAGAAATCCCCCACTACGAGCATCTGGACTTTTTATGGGCCGAGTCGGTCGACACTCTCGTTTTTCCACATGTCTTTGAAGCACTGGATAAATTTGCAACTTCAGAACCGGCAGCTCTAGAGGGTCAAAAACAACGACGCTTGCGATCACCAGGCAGGTATCAAGGTCTTTTGCCAGAATCCAGTAAGCTCCCTGGGTTAGACGCCGAAGACTACGACGAAGACGATGCGGGAGACGAGAGCGCGACAGCTCCAGTAGCGCTACGGACAAGAAAGGTGTCCCAGCCCTCGCGGACGCCGAGCTCCATCGATGGTACGACATTAGCCGAAAGGCCGGTGTCGTTAGCCAGTGCCGTCTCCCCACCCAAGACAACACGACCTGCTACGCATCGGAGGGCTGTTACAGAGGAGAAACCCTCGCCTGTCCGCAGTAGAATCATGTCACCACCTCCGTCACACAGAATGTCAACCATGTCTACACCAGACCCCACAAACAGGATGTCAACCATATCTACACCAGATCCTTCAAATAGGATATCAACCATATCCTTCAACTCCCCAGGTGCGTCAGTTGGCGATTCGCAAATCACGGAAAAGACCTCCACGTCTCGGCCTGAGGGATGGTGGTCCTCGGACGAAGTCGCTGGTACGGATCCGTCTCAAACTACCACACCCGCTAACCAAACCCCCGCCAGGAGGTCAAGCTTCGACAGCCAGCAGAGCACGAAGAGTATGGCGGGCAAAATCGGAGCCAATGGTATCACTCTTGGCGCGGGCAAAGCCGTCAGCGGACTCACACAAGGAGAAGGATTCGACTTCGGCGAGGGCAGTAGTAACAAGAGTCAAATCGATCGGGAAAGACTACTGGAGGCGGATAGGAAACAGCGGAGGAACGTCTTGAAAAAGAAGCATCCATCTAGTGGTTGATGTGACGAGTGACGACCATTTGTGTATTACCTGTTGGTTGCAAATTGAATGACAAGAATCTTCATGGCTACCTCATAGCGGCTTTAGAATTTGCAATTTCTCGACTAGCATCTATCTTGTGTACGAAGGAGAAGGATCGAAGGACCTTTTCAGATACTCCCTGGCACCATCTCAACCCCACTTCAGGCCACCTTCACAAATGTGATTGGCCACGGAGCCCGGCGCCGCTGCACCTCTGCAGCGTAATGAGACCTCACTCTTACTTCACTCTTACCTAGGCTACGTGTTTGCAACAATGCTATAGATGCCAACCAATCACTTCTCGATCCTGTGGGACGCGCCCGAGATCAGCAACACCCTAAGCTATATTGCACATACCATGACATGGATATGGAACAGCGCTGTAACCATCTACCGCACTCTGTCGCGCATGTTGTTGCCTAAACACTTCAACGGAAAGGTGAGCAGTTGTTCCTTTGGGCTTGCGGCCTGCAATTATGACCAATGCTCAAAAATGATGAAAAGGACGATTACGATCCCGCATATCGGAGCTTCGTCTTCTACAGGACCTTGTCTCCTAATGAGGTAAGTCGACGTCGATGATTTGCGGTACAAGAAGGCACGCTAATTTACACGTGTAATTAAGTCGTTGTCAAGTTTTGGCAGACCGTCGATGGAGAGTGGGATGGATGAAATGGAGGAATCACAAAGACCACATGCATAAAAGAGGCTATTTCAAGTGGAAACCAGTTCTGACTGGGTTGTCTCCGTGTATGTGTCGTGAACTGAGCTACCTCTGTTCGGACATCTAGAGTCCCTTACATAGCCGATGACAAGAGAAATGGGTTTGGGTCATCACTTCACCCAACTGCTAACTAGGCGGCTCCGAAAAATCGCCTCCTTCATGCTCCAGCTCCATGGGATCGTCCGGCCGCATCTGGTGATGCATTTGCTGCTGCATCTGTTGTTGCATGAGCTGCTGCTGCGATAGGTTCATCTCGGAAGCATCCCAGTCCAGATTACTGAAAGGCGCTGAATGCCACCACAATTGTTGCATTTCAACAATAGGCACTCCTTGGTCGAAGCTTGTGAAGAACGGGTTACCAAAAGCAGAAGGTGTTGGTTGTTGTGTGGGTAAAGGATATTGGAGCAGCGGATCCACGAGATGATCATGGGATAGTGGGGGTGGGTAGTTTGGCGGCATCTCTTCCGAGAAACCTGTACCGCTTGGTGTATCCCATGAAGTTGACTGTGACGGGAACGTAGAAGATGCACCGGAACGGGCCGGTCGCGCAGGCTGCGAGGTCCAATTACTATCGTCGTCAATCAACTCCTTTACCTGCTCCTGAAGAACTGGAGCGCAGCTATTCAAAATCTTGTAAACGACGTCGTGAGCACGAGCCGCAACTGGGTCGTTTGCTTTCATAGCCCGAAGCCAGCGTATCATCTTTTTGATACACGCAAGGATATCGGCTTTCTCGTCTTTCAGATGCTTGCCCTCATAGGCCATCTCGAGCAGAAGTACGGCTAAAGCTTGCATAACTAACGTGACGACAGTCAGCTTTGATGAAACAGTACTTCAACCATGGTAGACTTACTGATATGAACCACATCCCACCATGGCCCTTGGGAGTAGATAAAGCCTGTATCTGGCTGCTCGGGAAACAGCATTGCCATCTGTCGAGCTGCTTCGACACAAGTCTCAGCAGTGTCGGTGTTGAAGTTCATGGACTTCGAACTCTCCGTTGCTATCCTCCGTTCGATTCGGCATAGACAAGGTCTAGTAATAAGAACTTTCGTACTCCAATAGTAGATTCTGAGCAGGAACCGTTCACGGTTGAGATCGGATCGTTGAGTCCAAGTACTGGGTCGAGCATCCTCAGGTGGTAAAGCCGTCTGCACCCAGTTTTCTAGCTCCTTGAGTAACTCCGTGATTCTCGTTTGAACGTACTGTAGGTATACTAGTCAGGAAATGGCCATAGATTCGTATGAGAAATTGTTCGCTGGCAATGGAAAAAACCATTTGGAGGAAAACTACACGTACCTGCCAAGATTGTACCGCAGTTCGAGGTGAATACAGACTGAGAAGGACCTTTTGTTGAATGATAGTCAGGGTAATATACATATGGAGATAGTGGCTCTTGTCTGTCTTCCGTTTGCCAGACTCGGAAGCTCTATTATTTGCCGTGGTTTGAGGCGAGCCGTAGTTGGTGCGAATGCGAGATGTTTGTCGGGTTGGCGATTCGGGGGATTGTTGTGGCAAGGATACAGTACAATCCTCGTTCCCGATGACTGGAGGACGGCCGGTGATAGAAGAGACGAGACACTCTATTGAGTGCAAACACCACCATGTTTTTACCAGCGGCTCCCTCCTGGAATCACTCAATGAAGTGTCCTCGTTGCGCAAGTGCAGACCGAGCGCCAAGGCAAGCCTGATAGAAAGTCCTATCATAATCCATGCTCTACTCACATGCCCAATTACAAGGAAGTAAAAGGCCAACGTTCCTGTCTGAGAGTGCATGTTAGGTAGTTGTCAGCAGATAGGACCAATGGGAACTCACAGCTTGGATTTTGTCTAGGCTGGGAGCTGCAAGAAAGGTCAGAGTGTCTTTCAAACCCAGAAGCTGGACTGCTCTTGTCATGTATATCAGATGGTCCCTCTCGTCGCCTCTCCACTCTGCGCCAACAAGGTGTGAATATTTTGCGCCAATCGCGAAGAGCAAATTCATGGTTGCACGCCATCCGTCGGGTACGAAAAATGGGTGCCCATGTTTAGAAGCTTGGATATAGCGGCGAAACTGGTCCTCGAAATTGGCAGGCATGAGTGGGAATGTACCGTGCACAGTGTCCATGTAACAGGCAAAGAACTTCTCAGCGATCTCTGGGCTTGGCATCTCCCTAGGGTCCACCGCTATGTCAATCTCGATGTCGTCGCTGTCAAGGTAGAAAGTCGCGTCCGTGATATGGTGCATCGATCCTGGTCTAGCATTCTGCCTCCGTTCATGTAGAGCGTCGGATCGTTCATCGATCGCTTCAGTACTCGCACCAGGAGGGCCGTACCGTTGACCACGGGGATCTGTGTTGCCGCGTTCTGCTTGGCGCTGGACGCTCCGTAGCCATTGGACTTCAGAGTTCTGACCCATATAGCCGGTTTCTCTTGCATGTGGATCACGCATCAAATCTTCATCAAGGAAGTCAAGGTCTTCGTTGGATCCCACTGAGGCCGTCACGAAGGCCTCTCCGTGGTCACTATGATTCTCACCTTGACGTGTCGGTGAATGATCGCGCGGTCTCTTTCCCCGCATTCTTACGGACTGTAATGAACCCGACGAGACCAAATCATCCTCTACCTGCAATGGAAGTAATGTTAATGGTTACCTTGCAGGATATGATAGGAAACCAGATGGTCAAAGGGCCGCCTACATCGTGTAAAGTCTGATTGATGATCTTCCTATCTTCCTCATCGACGCGCCCCTTGAGGTCTTTCAGGAGATTGAGGAGATTCTTGTTCAGCCGCATGGCCCTGTAGAATTAGCATACATGTAGCCAAGTAAGGAGTCTAGTTTTACATACTCTCCTAGGCGATCTCGCCGTGCTGGATCGTACACACACGTCAGGTTGCTGCGTTCGCAGTTGGCGCAACGCGGTGTATCACCAGAACACCTGACTTCTGGAGTTTTGTCAGCACCGGCAATTGAGTGCGGATGTATAAGGCTGTATACTTCGTTTACGGCACGTTTTGCATGCTCTTGCTCTAAAAGAACGGGTTAGAATATAGTGTCTTGGTGTTGGAGGTGGAGTCACTGACACTCTTTCTTCTTTGTCGGGTCTCTCCGAGTTTTCGTTACCCTGCTGCGGCGCCGTCTTTTGAATCGCGGTCTTCCTACCCTGTCCATCACTGGACTGACCAAGTGGGATTTGCTGCATAGCACAGGCTGACGACGATTATAAACCAGTAGAGGACCCGTACTGCCAATGCAGATGCAGCTCGCGCATAAATCCGCTTCCAAAGAAGCGAATAAGTCACGTGTTGAGTTCCGGGCAAGGTCTCCGTAGACCTCGTACCGTATGAGGTATGAGGGGAAACAGATCTCCAGGACAGTATGGCGCGTGAAGGGACCCGGTGACGCACAGTAGTTGAAGAAGCACAGCGCTGAGTGGCTCTGGCGGACAATTCAGACAAGAGATAGTCCACTTCTGTAAACGCGAACGGGTGGTTGTGAAGGTGCCGCTACTGGGGGATAAGACTTATTACACCTTTCAGAAGAATGATAGGCGGATACCCATCCACCAATCAAGGTCTGCAATGTCGGTCCACGTTCAGAAAAAGCGTCGTGTTGCGATCTTGAGGTGGGCAGATAAAGTTGGATGGATTTAGCAATGGCTCTACATACAAGCGGGTATTGCCCAGCCGGGATCGAGATTCGAGGTAGGGCAGCGAATGGCCCCGCAGAAGAGGCCTGCGAGCCGCCATGGCATCCCGGGCTGTCAGATTATCGCAACAAAAACTGTACAAAGGATCCAGAAGACACGCAGCATAAACGACCTGGAGGGAATCTGAGAAGGTCCTCGGGTCGGCGTGCTATTTGAGCGTACGTAGGTAGCCAGCGCGCTATTTCGCAGTATGCGCGATGATACAGGTCATACCCACCAGGAATACCTCGCTTCTATTCATTACTACAGATATGTTAGATGGAGTGCTTGTGGTCATCAGGGTATCGAATTTGGTGGCAAATACTCACAGACTTTACGTGCTGTCAAGAGGCATTCCGTACACCTTGTAAAAAAAAACTTCTATACCTCCTTGGGCCAGCCTTCGGACGTCCATGTTCGTGCTACGGGGCAGGCGATGCTCTGTTTGGGTATGCGAAGTAACGCCAGATACTATTGGGTTGCGACTGATTCTCCAATCCTCGCTCGATCACGATCGTACAGAGCAGCCTATGTGTCTCGCTCCAGGGTACCTAGGTAGCTGTAGCTTAGCAGTTTTAGCGGCACTGTCTGATGTGCATGTGTTATAACGCCTTGAGTTCATATTAGAATCCAGCGGCCACATAGAACGGCCGAGGTTTGCTTGCTGGCGCAAACAAGAGCTGAATGACCCGAGTTCTGCCCTGCCCAGGGGATGTTCAAATGTGGGTCGCGTTATTCCACTTCTGGAAATTTTTGCTAGCTCACCAATCCCAGCTAGCGTAAAATGGGGCTCGGCATCAATCCGCAAACATCTTGGGTTGCTTTGAAGCATCCCACACCTATACCCATACACTCTTTTCTTCTGAATATACCGAGATCTTCCAATGCCTTCAAGAACAAAGTCATGTGCAGTGTGTCGAAAGAAACGCATTAGGTGCGACGCGACGGTTCCGCAATGTCTAATGTGCATCCGCACTGGTCGCGAATGTCCTGGACTTCCAGATGGACCCTTGTTCGTTGATATGACGAACATTGCAAAGAATGGAATGCAAAAGCGCAAGCCAAAGGCACTGATCAGGAGCTCGGGACTCAATACTCAGGCTCGGATGCGTTGTGATGGCCTGCCATTGTATCGGACCTCGCAACGAACAATTGTGACCGAGTCATTCTACGCACGCTTCCTGGCATACTTTACGTCCGATGGCGAAGGGACAGATATTAGGAATCGGCGTACTTGGTTGCATAGCCTGCCTGTCTTGACCACGGATGGCACGAATGAAGCGTTGGTATTGGCAGTACAAGCTACGGCATCTGTCTACTGTGCTGTCGAAACTGACAATCTAGCATTGACGCAATACTCTCGGAAACTATACGGCGAAGCGTTACGGACACACTATCGATTCATTTCACGGCCACAGAACAAGTATGAGGTTACAGTACATATGGTATCTACGAGTGTCCTGTTCAGCTTCTTCGAGGCTATCCAAGCTACAGATGCCGAAGCATATCGCTCACACATCTACGGAGCTGTCCGGATGCTTGAAGTGACCAAACCAAAGCAATGTTCAGGAGGGGCATTATGTCAGATCTTCTGTAAGCACTCACATACGGGTATATTTGGGGTATAGGCTAACCTCCCGTCTTTCTTATGCAGACCATCTCCGGACCCAGATGGTATTCATCAATCTGACTAGGGATTGCGAAGAAACACCCTTTCAAGTACAAAGAATCTTGCACGGGTCACTAGAATACATCCGACTACCCGTGTTCCAGAGATTGCTGAGCCATGTATCCTACCTGATAGAAGAAAACGCTGCACAGGAAAGCGACGCATCACAACACCCTATTGACCCCGAGACGTATACGGAGGTCGCGACCAATATCGAAGAGCTCTGGCTTGAGCATGCAGGTGGAGCAGCGAGTAATGACACATCAGTCTTCTGGCAAGATGTCACGACTGGAGCCATACAATTTCGCGACGAATTCACGGCTCTGACCGTCGCATACTTCAGCGCAGCTCGCATTCTTCTTTGCATCGTTATGTCACGATATACAGATTCTCTATTCACGATACCACATCAACATTCGATCATATTGCAAGCTTCACAGTATCTGCAGACCTACACAAACGGTTTTGCATACATGCGTATGGCCACGCCTCTACTACTGGTAGCACTACATTCTCCTGCATCTAGCCAGAGGGAAAAGGCTACTGCTTGTTTCGAGTGCTGGATCAATAAGCCCATGTCCGGCATTAGCGCACTAGCACTAGAGAGAATACGGCGACATCTAGCACCAAAAAAACATCTGGCGGCTTAGGCCGGCAGCGCTGAGTGATCTCGGTTCCGAACACTCGCTGTTGTCGAACACAAGCACAGGCAGCTCCGGAAGAGCCTCCCGCGCCCTATCGAGTGGAACCCGGCTAGATCGCGATGGTCATACTTCGCGATCCCCATAGTAAAGTCCGATCCTCGACACGAATTGCTCTTTTCGCAGCGCATGCGTCACAAGGGTCACGCTACGTCGCAGGAGCAGTGCATACAACGATGTACAGCGATGTGCCCGATCTCGAGACGAACTCTTACGGCACGAGATCCACTTACACAGATACCATAACTAAGGGAAAGAGGAATTCGCGTCCAATTAGGATAGGTCTAGGTACCGCATCTGCACACATGACCGCAAGAAGGGACACGATCAAGCCAACTCCTTGGAACTTGAATGGATAAGGCGTTGTCTCATGGAACAGCAATGCAGAGAGAGCCTGGAATATGATTCGCGCTCTTGGCAACAATCCGTATAGCATACGTGGTGGAAGGCTCTAATCTATACAGAAGGGAAGTGAAGGGGCAGGAATTGTAAAGGATGCTGACGCTGTACGAAGGAACTCGTTTCAAGTATTGGATCAGCGTTGGTGGAATAAAGAAAGGTAGGATGTGGAAGAACAGCCAAGTAGAGACTGCATAATATAGCTACCTAATATACGAAAACGCATTTCTTACTTTCCCAGTCGCAAACATATACATGTATCATGAAGACTTGATATCAAAGAAACAAACCGAACAGCCATCTGAGACGTTGACATTCGGAAAAAGCTTCCATATTACCTATCCTCTCTCCTTCAGGCTTCGCAATTTACGGCCTTGCCTATGCCTTCTGCATACCCTCGACGAACTCAAGCGCCGCTTCTCTATCAACAACATCAATGCTACTCGTCTTGTTCGTATAAGTAACGCCATAACATCGATCCGCCACATGCACCATCTCAGGTCTGAAGGTCGTACAGATAAACTGGCCTCCTCCATCCTTGTTCTTACCACCCTGACCACTCAATCGTTCCAGCATCTGCGCAACAGCAGTACGGTACTGCGCATCGAGATTGGCATCGATTTCATCAAAGAGGTAAAAGGGTGCAGGATCGCACTTTTGGATAGCAAAGATGAGGGCGAGTGCGCAGAGCGACTTTTGACCACCAGAGAGTTGGCCAATCTTTTGCTGCTCGTCGTGCTTGCTGTTGAAGGATACGGCGATGCTGACACCTGTGTACTCTTCGACTTTGCTCTTCTTGCCTTGTGTCTCTTCTTCTTCCATGTCGTCATCGTCGGATATGTCGCCTCGTGCATCGCGGTCGGATTTGCGGTTGATGACTAGGCGGCCGCGGCCGATGGGCACGAGTTGTTGGAAAACTTCGCCAAAGGCGGCGGCGACTTGTTTGAAGGTTCGGGCGATGGCTTCGTCTTTGCGTTGGTCTAACACGTCGATGAGGTTTTCAATGGATTTGCGCGATGTGTTGAGTTCGGCGCGGCGTTCTGTAAGGGTGCGTCTTTGGCGTGTGAAGTTCTCATAATGTTCGAAAGCCTTCTTGTTGACGTGCGCGAAGCTCTTGAGGGCTTGGTTGGCTTTGGTGAGTTCTTTAGTGACCTTTTTCGAAATGTTAGCTATATGCGGATTCGAAAGACCAGCATCCAGCTTACCTTGGTAGTGTCCCATCGAGTGTACTTCCGATCAACGTCTTCAGGAAGAGTACCCAAATCTCGGATATCCCGCTTGACCTCTGCCAATCGATCTGTATGACGGCTACGATCGGAGTCCTTCTTGGACATGGC